GCAAAGGGCAAAGCAGCTGCATCCTATACGGGCCCCCTTTAAAAGGGGAAACTAGGGGTTATTAGCAAAACCAGATAGCAGGTAGTTGTGCTGACCTCCAAAGAGAACAATGTATCACCATATGAAAAGTTAAAAGGGAACATCAGGCCGTGATTACACTCTGTACCTTCATTAATCCCCTTCCTGACGGCATGACGTTTGCCCTTTTGGGTGGCATTCTGTTTTGGGGGTAGTTAGCCAAGAATGAGGATACAGAGTTGAACAGTTACAAAAAGTTCATCTCCCATGGGGCATGGCTGCTGGAGCCATATTGCATCTCTAAAGTGAGTTCCCCTGCACCTGCCACATGGCAAGCCTGAGAGGCTTCTCCCCAAATTCCTGATGTTCCCCTCTCCCTCAGGGCCTAAATGTCAGAAATTCAGCCGAGCGTGGGGGCTGTAACCCTGGACTGTGGAAATACTATTCACAGCAAGTGAGAGGACATCCTACAGAGAAAAAGCCCGAAGAAAAGTGAGGGGTTATTCTCACCAGTGTTCAATCTTTGGACCCACTGTTACATCTTATCCTGATTTCTTTTGCACTGAACATACTTTGAATATCGCCTTGAGATTTCCTTGGGCGTCTAGAGCTCGGGACTTGGCCAGAGTTTTGCCATCTCCCATGTTAAAGGATTCCATTTACTTTCTAGGAAGCTAGCCTGGATGTCATTATTTACAGGTTTTTTGGTTCTCCCTTTCTGGTCTGTACACTGGTCCTCCAGCTTGGGCATACATCACAATCACCCGGAGGGCTGGTTACAACAGACTGCCGGGCCCAGCCCCATGATTTAGGTAGGAGCGGGCTGGGCATTTCTATCAAGTTGTTTATGGTGACATTAGTCCAAGGACCATCTTTTGAGAATCAATGGGAATGCAGGAGGAAAGAAACAAAATCTTAGAACAGTCTGATACATTGTGCCACGTGAAAGTCCTGTTATGGCTGCTCTAATCACGTTAGTTCCACAGAAGCTCACCCTCTACTCTGTTTCCTATAGATGTACTTCCCATCAGCAGATACTTCTCTTCAATTATACAAGGGGGCTCTGTCCCCTTTAACACATATTTAGCCAGACTTACTTTTATAGACCTCAATTCTTAAAATGAGAACTTCAGAGCTTATAACCTTTTCTGTGGACACAACCACCCATACTTCCTGTGTGTATTCTTCTGTCGACCACATGCAAGTTCTAAAAGACAGCTTTTGCTGTATTTTAGTATCTGTACATATTTTGGACCGTTTCAAAGTAAGCTACACAATAGTCTTGGGGTATCAACAAGATTACAATAGAATCACAAATTTTATCTACAATCATGTTCAGTTTTGAGATTTAAAGTTAAATCAGAACATTTATACTGAAGAACATACCATACAAAAGTGCTCAGGGTCAAGTGAGTTTGGAAAAAATGGAGACCCTTCAAGGATGGTGCAGCAACTTACATGAGCATGTGAAAGATCCATCAACTTTAACACTTTAGACCCTGGTGACCCAGGCTGTGCTGGCTGCCTTGTCCCTTGTGATTGGACCCCATTTATAGAAAAAGCATTTGGATCAGGAGACCGACACAAAAGCAGAACTTCCCAATGAGCAGCCAGCTTATTTCAATTAAATCATCCCTATGTCTTATTTTTCTTTCCACTCACCCCCCCCCCCCCAAGAAGTGTGATTCAGGGAGAAAATTTGGATTAACTACATGTTTAAATTGATCAAAGTATTGGTCTAGCTGTGGAGAAGACTGGAAAAGGAAGGTGACAGTAACTGAGGGAGAAAAATGCTGCCAACATGTTAGCTGTAGCACAATTCAAGTTTATTCCATTTGTTCTTGCAACACAAAACTTAAACACAGTATTAGTTAGCATTCTGATGTACATGAACTAGGATAATATGAGAAACCCAATTGTGTCAAAAGTATTACATTGTGGAAAAAAATGAACTCAAATATATCAAAATGCACAAAGCATTAGTCTTCCTCTATTACTGCTTAGAAAGATATGATTGTTTCTCCATTTACAAAATAGAATCAGGACAATTTAAATTTTTTAAATTTTGCATGCAAAACACTGCAACTGCATATGTAGGAGGGCACTCTCACCAGCTTCTATACACAATCGAGTATGCAATATTGCATGGAAGAAAACAGCTTAATTGAAGTGTTAGGGAGAGAAATCAAATAGGTACGTACTGATTTGAACTCCATTATTTAGGAGAAAGAATCAATGAATGAAGGGGCTACTTGCTTGCAGCTTCCACACACTGACCCACCTGCCTCCCCTTCATGCCCCACGGGGTCTAGAAGGTGAGCTCTGCATAGAACTACTTGGTTATTCAGGTGCTGTTCATGGACTGTAAGTCTATAGATAACCAGTCTGAAGCTGCAAGGGGGAATTTGTTAGTATACTAATAGCATAGTAAACACTCGGGTGTTTTTATACACCTGTTTTTAATTGCTATAGTGCATACGAAATGACTGACTTAATACAAAACTACAGAACATGCAAGGTTTTTGCTGAGATGTTAAATATTACTTCAGTGGAGAAAAAAAAAACCTTAACCTTTCACTAATGTATGTAGTACCAAAAAGCAGACATGGTTTTAACTTCCTTTATTCAAAATATGAACATTAAGTGTTGTGAATTTTTCTGCCAAGTGGTTCAGAAATACATTATAAATAACCTACTTAAAAAAAAAAAAAAGAAATTGTAAACCATCTTGGCCAGTCTATTCTATGTTTACATGTTATTTTCTCAAGCAACCGCTTCGTAATCATGGGGTTTACAAAATGGCGGGAAAGGCGGCGGCGAAGCAGCCTCCACTGCATTACAGGGAACACAGGGCAAACTGTACAGCAAGTCCCCTGGCTTCGACACCAGTGACTGTGGGAAGCAGACCAGGTTCAGGAATGATAGGACAGTGCACTCTCTGCAATAGCCAACTAGAACAAAACACTGAGGATGTAAAGGTAAAACTGTGTAGAGGGTAATCCAAGCCTTTTAGATCACAGTATGCCAAGAGGTGAAAACAAAGATTTCAAAACACCTTGTTAATGGTTCAAGACTGATAGAGTGCCCTCCATCTCCAATGAGAATGGCTCCAGGTTTCAGTTCAGTGGTGTCATAAAGGACTGATTACTGACTTTGACTCTTGACTCTTAACAGGCTGCATTAAGGCAGCAGAATTAGCCAAATGTATCAAAGTATTTAAGCCACCATTTTGTGATTGTTTTCTTAAAAGAAAAATTACAGGGTTAGGCTAGTTTTAAGTGAAAAAAGCCACAGGATAAAAAAAGGGTTCATGGAAAAAAGTGTACATGTCACTTACACTCATCACACACACACACACACACACACACACACACACACACACACACACACACACACTCACCCCACACACCAACCAATCAGCAACTGATCAATAAGACTTGTTATTAGCCAGGCTGACGGTTCTTTGATAGTTTAACTCTGCTGTCTAATGCTACATTGCCTTAAAAAAAAAAAAATCCATAATTCTTTATTTTCCACAATCTGAATACTAGTCCCTAACCCTGTTTTTAAAAATTTGAGGTACGTTTAGTTATTGCATGACATGGCTATGGAAAAATCCTAATATTTTTAGTAAGCTTAGATGGGTGGCAGGTCAAAGGAATCTTTAATTTTGCTATTGTACATTTAAAATATTAAGAGTATATGCTTTAATTAGTCATACTGCTCAAGAAATAAACATTTGAAAATATGTCTAAACATTTTCTGCAGGTCATAATCATCATCTTAAGGTGTATTTAAGGGCACAGAGTACATTTTGAAAGTGTCACATTTTCTTCTATGATGCATGATTTAGAAAAGAAAAAAATATACTGTGCAGGTGGGCTGGCATATGTTCAGCAGAAGTTTACAACAGCTGGGGGAACCTAGTAACAAGCATATTTTTGAAGAGATGGGGGTTAAATTTGTCCAAATAGTAAATCTCACCCCAATGATAGCTTTGGTGCAATAAGTAAGTAATCAGCATCCAAGATGGGTCAAAGAGACATTCCTACAATGTTCCTTGTTATCCACAACATAACCGGGGTCAATCCATTCAAATAGCAAATGAAGACAACTATAGTTACGAAGACAACTGTCTCTTTGTATGATACTAACAGGCTTATGGCTATGATTCTAGTTTAACATCCCCTTTTACTACCAGCGAAGTTTTAAAGTGTTTCAATGTTATATAAGTATTTGAATCTAGAGGAGAAAAATTTATGCATACTGGAATGGTTTCTCCTATAGACTTCCAAAATTTAAGATTTTATAAATAAAACTAGTCAGTTTTACCTAAAGATACATGAAATCCATGGGAAAGGGGAGAGGAAATCCAAAGTTCAGGCATCTAGAATTTAGGTGTGCCCGCCTCACCGTCACTGAGCTTTCGCGTCAAGCCGAAAGTCACTGAGGGAGGATGTGGTCACCAGCCACAGGCTCTTCATTACACTGGAGACCCCCCAGATGCACCTTAAGGCAGAAGGCTAGAGCTAATTGCTTATCTCAGCACCCTAAGTTTACACCCAGCAGCCACTACTGCTCGCACAGTTAGGGCTACCAATTATGCAGAGTTGGCCTTTGTATAATCAGACCCTCGACACAATCTAATTACTGAATTAGCTAGGGAGCTGAGAAGGTCAAATGTTACGGTATGTGTCTTTGCTCTCCCTTGGGTATAAACTGTGTATTTTCGGAAGTGGAAAAGAGGCCGACTTGATCAGGAGGCTTTGTAAAAGCCTGATTGTAGTTTTTGCCTCTCCTCCAGAACATTGTTTTTGTTTTTTGTTTTCTGGTAGTCCGATTTGTTATGAATTTCTCTCTCCCCTCACCCCTCCTAAAGTATTTAGCTGAAGAAGCTGGCAGATAGAGAGTGACAGACAGACAGGCAGCAGTGTGAGGCCACAGGAGAGTCATTCTTCCAGAGCTGTCAGCCCATCCGTCCATCACTGAAGTAGGGCTTTGATTGCCTGGTTGTCAGTGGCTTCAAAAGCAGTGAGTCCATCTGGGCCTTTCACAGTCTTATCAGCACCCTGGAAAAGAATGAGAAAAGCCTCTATTATTAAATGAGCCCACAACTGAGAGAAGAGAACGAGACTAGATTACTTAGCATCCACTAGTGTTTAGATCTAGAATTAAATTCTCTTAAATAGAGTTCATCCTATTGAAGAAAAAACCCTAAACACTCAGCAAAGTTACAAAAATGTCAGATTATTTTTTAGGCACTAGAAATTGTAAACTACACACACAACTTGCCAAAAACATTGGCAACGACTGGCTTTTATTTATATTAGTATGTATTTGCCCAATTAATCTTTAAAAATTAATACCCTTAGATGTAGTGTAAAAGCTCTTTAGCTAAAAAAGAAAGTGTCATGGTGACGAAATTATTTTTCCCCTCTCTGCAACTTTTTTGAGTGTACCTAAGTGTTACACACATTATTTCTAAAAATCTGGGGCTTACAAAACTTTTATTTTTGACAGAGTCCTAAAGAACACGTATAATACTGGTCAACATTCTTATAGACACTTAGTGAGTGCTGGGATGTGGCTAGGAAAGGGGCTCTGTGATGCTCTCTGGGGATGAAATGTCTCCAGCCCACCTCAGTGCTTCTGGAAGCTGCTGTTCTGGACCATTTACTTGCAACAAGATTTCAGGTTTGGGAATGTAGACCTGTACTTTGTGTCTGTCCACTGTTTTAAATCTGTCTTCCTTTACTGGAATAAAAGTTCCACGGGAGTAGGAACCGTATCTGTATCACTCACTCCTGTGTCGCCAGTGCCCAGGAAAGTGCCGAGAGCATGGTAGGTGATTTGCTCCCTGAGCCTCTTTAACTACCAGGACAGCATTCTTCTCTTATTGAGGGTTCTCTTTGCTAGCTCCAACCAATCAGAACGCAGTCACCAAATCGTCTCTATTGTCCTTGCCAAATCTCGTTATTTGTTCCTAAGGCCTAGCCTACAGAGCTGACTAAACTTGGCATAGGTAGTTCTTTTAAAGACCAACTCTAGTCAAACTCACCAGTCTCTTCTCCCATTAATCTTTCTTTGCTTTAATCCTATGGAGTTTCTCACCATTCCTGAACATACCATGCGCCATGCCTTTATACATGCTGGTTCCCAAATGAAATGTCTTACCCCTTTCCCCTGGCAAATCCATTCAATCACTCAACAAATATTTGCTGAATGTTTGATGGGTAGACATTATAAGGAGCTGGAGAATCAAAGAAAAACAAGACAATCTGCCAGCCTGGCTGGTGTGGGAGACAGACAAAACACCAGTATGAATCAGTGGGACGAGAACAATAATGGCATTATGCAGCATGATGAATGGCCTGTAACGCAGAATGGGATGTGATGGAGGGTATAACAAAGAAAATCTTTCTGGATGAGGCAATGCCTGCACTGAGTCTTGATGAGTAAGTACAAGATGATTAGGTAAATCAGGAAGGAGATGACGATAAATTCTTTAAAGTGTGAAATTATTACAAAGTCCTCTTCAATATGATCTTAAAAGTCTCTATTTCCTCACTTTCTAATTCAATTTAACTGCTTTATAGAACCCCTACTTAAGAGGGAGAGAAACCTGTAAGAACGTCAATGTGGTAAATCCTCCAACGTAGGTTAAATTCAATAATTGGGATCACTGTATTCAAAATAATTTCACTTTGGCAGTTTTTTATGACTAGCACTGTAAACTAAATTCTACATTAACACAAAGTTAAATATTACAGTGAACACCTGCTGCTTTTTCAGCTTCTAGATCCTAATTTCATTTTGGGAAATCATTTGTCCCATTGTGTGGGCTCCAGGGAACATAACTCAAGGTGCTCCATACTTAGCTTGCCAAACAATAATTTGACTCAAACATCCACTTCAGGATTCTGAACATTGACTGGAGAGATCAAAGGAGAGAATAAGAAGTTGTGAGCTCCTCTGTTTATTTCTGTGGCATCACTCAGAGGAGACAGTTGAGAAGTTTCTGCTCTTGAGTCCTATAGCTGCCATACTTCTGGCCTCTTCTGAGTCTGATTCTCAGCTTTCCTGTTGGTTCTATGACTAGTCCAATATCTTCAAAATTCTTTCTACTTGTTAAGTCAATTTCTGCTATCTGCAACCCCCAAAATCTAGCTTACAGAGTATTTTTTAAAATTATATAAATCATAATTACAATACAAACTCACAACAGAACTCAGATTATGCCAAAAAACAACTCATTTTTCAATTACAGTTAATATTCAATATTATGTTAGTTTCAGGTACAGCATCGTGGGGTAGATAACCATTTCCAATGTATAAATGTGTACTACCACTTCTTTTATCCACTTGTGTATTGATAGGCACTTTTCATACCTTGGTTATTGTACATAATGAATGCTTCAATGAGCATAGTGTACATATATCCCTTCAAATTAATGTGTTGAGTTTTTCCAGATATACACCCATAAATGGAATTGCTGGGTCATAAGGCAGTTCCTTTTTAATTTTTTGAGGAACTTCCATCGTGTTTTCCAGTGTCTGCACCAACCTGCATTCCAACAGTGCATGAGGTTTCCCTCATCCTTGTTTGATAATTTATTGATGACAGCCATTCTGATAGGTGTCAGAAAATATCTCATTGTGGTTTTAATTTGCATTTTCCTCATGATTAGTGATGTTGAGCATCTTTCATATGTCTATTGGCCATTTGTATATCCTCTGCCCATTTTTGAGTCAGATTTTTTTGTTTTTGTTGTTAAATTGTATGAGTTTCTTACATATTTTGGATATTAACCCCCTATTGGATGTAACATTGACAATTATCTTCCCCTATTCAATAGCTGAATTTTCATTTTTACATAGAACTAGATGATTAACAGTTTCCTTGTTGTGCAAAAACTTTTTAGTTTGATATAGTCCCATTTGATTTTTTTTTTTCTTGCCAAAGGAGACATATCCAACACATTATTACTAAGAGCAATGTAAGAGTTCATTGCCTATGTTTTCTTCTAGGGAGTTCTATAGTTTTGAGTCTTAAGTTTAAGTCTTTAAATCACTTTTTATTCTTGTATATGGCAAGAAAATGAGCCAGTGTCATATTTCCGTATGTATCTGTCCAATTTTTCCAACACCAGTTAATGAAGAGACTATCTTTATTCCATTCTATATCTTTGCCTCCTTTGTCATCGATCCATTGACAATATAGGTTTTTTCTTCTGGGCTCTCTATTCTATTTCATTGATTTATGTGTTTGTTTTTATGCCAGCACCATGCTGTTTTAATTTCTATAGCCTTGTAGTATAGTTTGCTATCAGGTAGTGTGGTATCTCCAACTTTGTTCTTTCTCCATTGCTTTGATTATTTGAGGTCTTTTGTGGTTCCATGTACATTTTAGGATTGTTTTATCTATTTGAATAATGTCATTGGTATTTTGATGGGGATTGCACTGAATCTGTATATTGCTTTGGGTAGTATGGATATTTTTAACGATGTTAATCATTCCTATTCAAGAACACAGTATATGCTTCCATTTATTTGTATCCCCTTCAATTACTTTCTTCAGTTTTATAGTTTTCTGAGTACAATTCTTTCAACTCCTTGGTAAAATTTATTCCTTGATATTTCATTCTTTATTGCAATTGTAAATGGGATTGCTTTCTTAGTTTCTCTTTCTGATAGTTTATTGATGTATAAAAATGCAACCAATTTCTGAATATTAATTTTGTATTCTATTTTACTTAATTCATTTATTAGTTCTAATAGTTGTTTTTTTTTTAAATTCCTCACCTGAGGGTATTTTTCCCCATTAATATTTAGAAAGAGTGGAAGGGAGAGAAAGGGGGGGGAGAGTTCTAATAGTTTTTATAATATGTATGGATTCTTTAGGGTTCTATCTGCAAATACTGGTTTTTCTTCTCTTCCAATGTGAATGTATTTTCTTTTTCTTGCCTGTTTTCTGTGGCTAGGACTTTCAATACCAAGTTGAATGTAAGTGGTGAAAACGAACATCCTTATCTTATTCCTAAAGCTAAGGCAAACACTTTAGCTTTTCACCATTAAGTATAATGTTAACTGTGGGTTTTTCATATATGGCATTTATTATGTTGAAGTATATTCCTTCTAACCCCACTTTGCTGACAGGTTTTTATTATAAACCGATGCTAGATGTTGTCAAATGGTTTTTCTGTATCTATGGATATGATTTTCATCCTTCATTTGTTTAATGTAGTATATCATGTTAATAGTTTTGTGAATACTGAACCAACCTTGAATAAATCCTACTTAGTCATGGTGTAGTATCTTTTTAATGTATTGAGGAATTCAGTTTGCTAATAATTTGTTGAGGATATTTACATCTATGTTCATCAGGGATATTGGCCTATAATTTTTTTTTTTTTTTTTTTTTTGTAATGTCTTTGTTTGGTTTTGTTATCAAGATAAGGCTCACCTTGTAATTTAAGTTTGTGAGTTTTCCCTCTTCAAATTTTTGTAGTAGTATGGGCAGAATAGGTGTTATTTCTTCTTTGAATGTTTGGTAAAAGTTAAAGCCACCTGACCTAGCACTTTCATTTGTTGGGAGTTTTTTAATAAAGGACTCAATTTTGTTAGCAGTTATTGGCCTGTTCAGAATATCTCTTCCTGGAAGTATGTATATTTCTGGGAACTTGTCAATTTCTTTCATGTTGTCTACTTCAGTGGTCGCCAACCCTTCGGACCTCATGAACCACCAGTTAGTGACCACTGGTCTAATTTCTAGGCATATAATTGTATTTCCTTATAATACTTTGTATATCATGGTGTCTTTTTCATTTCTGATTCTATTTGTTTGGGCATTCTTTTTTTCTTCTTGATGAATCTGGCTAAAAGTTTACCAATTTTGTTTATATTTTCAAAGAACCAGATTTTCATTAATCTTTTCTATTTTTTTGGCCTCTATTTTGTTTCTGTTCTGATCTTTATTATTTCCTTTTTTTCTACTCACTTTGGGTATTATTTATTTTTTCTATTTTCTAATTCCGTCAGGTGTAAGGTTAAATAGCCTATTTGAGATTTT